TAGAATTAGCCACTTATGCAACCAAGAGAATGATAAGATAAGGGACTGTGGGATTTTTCTTCTTTGGATATCTTTTTTGGATGTGCAGAATATGAATTACAGATACATATATTTTTCACTTTTTGATTTTCCCCAAAAGATGCTGTCAAATAAAGATACTTGTATATTTTGTTATACTCAGTATGTAAAGTATATGAGCTTTTAGTCGCTCAGATCTCAAAACATTCATACGGTTTCTTTTTTCTAACACTTGACATCACTATCAAAATAGAACCATTGGTTATTTTGTAATGTTGTAGGGTAAAAGACACAGTATAGACTTATTTTTATAATGGTAGTTTACTTGCCATATTTATATATATATTTTATTTTATGTAGAAGAAGTAATATTAAGATTTGTTGTTTTTATATATTAGGTTGCTGATGAAAAGAAATCACTACATCTGATATGAAAAACCAGCAACATATACTTGCATTAGTGGCCTAGGTAATTGCCTTTTTTAGTACAGTCTCTCTGATGACTGTGCTATTTGGCAATCATTGCTGCAACCCATTATTTTAGATTAAAATACATATTGCACCACTAACACAAAAAGAAATGAGAATAAGAATTTGTGCAAGTTCTGTAAGCCAAAGGTTAAGGACAGACATGTGAAGGACTTGTTTACTGCCAGAGACTTAGAACCGATACATTGATTTGAATAGCTTTTTTTTATCCAGTTTCTCTCAGGTTATAGCTTTACCTCAGTAGAGAAAATTAGAATATGTCTGTATTTATGGTTCATTTGGAATTTATGACTATATACTATGTTTATTTTAGATGAATACTGGAATTATGATTTTAGTTAATATAATTATTATGATTTTTTTTATAACTCCTCCAGTACTTGTATGAATAATCAAGTAAAAAAAAAAAAGTTAAGAGAAAATATTCAGTTAAAAAATATATATATGTATGTAAGACATGGATACCAAATTCTACTCGCATATAGATTTCTAAGTATTGCCAAACAGTGAAGGATTCCGTGTGGGCTAACATCAGCGTCGGTGGTGAAGGACTCGACCATGGTATGGATTTACGTGATGTTATGGATTATTGATTTTAGTGTTTAGGATTTGATGTTCCATAGTATGAGAGGGATATTAAGGATTAGGGAATAAGGGGTGAATGTTAGATTGTCATAGGATTGGATGATGGGTTTGAGTTTGAGATTGTTATGTAGATTTTCGGTATGTGTTATTTGAGAAATGATTGCAAACTAGATTTAAAGAAAAAAGAAAATCTTATTACATTTATTAATATATATTCACATTGTAGATATCATAATTAAAAAAGAAATTGCTCGATTATAATCTTGTTATTATTACATATAGATAACTTGTTAATGTATTAGGTGTTTAGAGGATATATGTAAATATTCAATTGACCATACATAAAGTTTATTTTAGATACATCAGACCTGAATGTTACCAAATAGTAGAAATTTCCAAAGAAAAGAATTGCATTGCCATAATTTTGAAAATGAATCTCTTCAAATAAAGTTGAAATCTGTATTAGATTTAGTTAGGATGTTTAGACTTTAGAGGTAAGTGCTAGATTTCTAACAATAGAATTTTAGATAAGACAAGCTAGTACATCTGCTGGTGCATTGGCTGTGGCGACTATTTTCTTCTGCACCTAATTCTTGATAGATCAATATGTGTATTGACTTTGAGGATTGAAGTGTGTAGATGCTGGGTTTTCTTATTTTTATTTTTTTAATTTTTATCATCATAGTCATCATCATTGTCATCATCAGCAGTGTCATCATCAGCAGTGTCATCACCAACAGTGTCATCACCAGCAGTGTCCTCACCAGCAGTGTCCTCACCAGCAGTGTCATCACCAATAGTGTCATCACCATCATTGTCACCACTGTCATTGTCATCATCATTGTCATCACCAGCAGTGTCCTCACCAACAGTGTCATCACCAACAGTGTCCTCACCATCATTGTCATCACCGACATCATTGTCATCACCGACATCATTGTCATCACCGACATCATTGTCATCACCGACATCATTGTCATCACCAGCAGTGTCATCACCAACATTTTCATCACTGTCATTGTCATCATTATCATCATTTTCATCGTCATTGCCATCACTAACAGTGTCATCACTATCATCACCATCATCATCACCATCATCATCATCACCATCACCATCATCATAATCATCATAATCATAATCATAAACATAAACATAAACATAATCATCACCATCACCGTCATCATCACCACCATTATCACCATCACCATTATTGTCAGCCATGTCATCATCATCCTTGTCATATTCATTACTGTAATTAGCATCACTGTCAATGTCATAGTTATAGTCATCTTGTCACCACTGTCACCAAAGTCATTGTCATTGTCATTGTCATCGTTAGTTTTGTTGTTTACATTATTATTATTGTTATTATTGTTATTATTATTATGGTTGTTATTAATATTGTTGTTATTATTGTTGTTATAATTATTGTTGTTATTATTATTGTTATTGTTATTATTATTGTTATTGTTATTATTGTTATTATTGTTATTATTGTTATTATTGTTATTATTGTTATTATTGTTATTATTGTTATTATTGTTATTATTGTTATTATTGTTATTATTGTTATTATTGTTATTATTGTTATTATTGTTATTATTGTTATTATTGTTATTATTGTTATTGTTATTGTTATTATTATTATTATTATTATTATTATTATTATTATTATCATTATTATTATTATTATTATTATTATTATTATTATTATTATTATTATTATTATTATTATTATTATTATTATTATTATTATTATTTTAATGTTATTGTAATTGGGATTGTGATGTGATTATGATTGTTGATTAAATATAATTCATGATTGATGATGATTGATTCCTAATTGTGATTGATGGCAGAGGGTTGATGGGGATTGTTATTTGGTGGTGATTGATGGAGATAGATAGATAAGATAATGACTGAAATTCAGTGTTGATTGGGGTTGATGTTGATATATGATGAATAGTTGTAGATGAAGTTTGACAGTATTGTGATGGGATGAGGGGTGATGGTGAAGACAGTGGTGGTGGTAATTTGCCTAATGATTGTCTAGTCTGCAAAAGGAAAAGTGTTTGTTATCATAAGCATTGTCTGTAGAGAGTATACCTACTGGTGTCTATATCATATGTCTGGATTTTTCTCCGTGTTTGTTTCATGTTGTTATTATATTTATAGTTTTCTTTTAACGGGAGAATAAAGATTTTTTAATCGTTTTATTATTAGTGTGTGACATTTTTTCATTAGCCTACTTCTAGAGGGATGAGTAGAAGATATCTTGATTGAATATCTAATCTTATTTGATTTATTTTAGTTAAATTCATTTGCTGTTAATTGGCAAGAAACTGGAATTGAATTATTAATCAATAATTGCTTGTAAGAATTGTGCTGTTCTATGTGTGTGTAAAAGTGAGTGTGGTTGAATTAGATACCAAAAAATAGCAGCTATGATAGTGATGCATTTAGAATTTACTAGGGATGTCTATTTTATTATATTTTTTTAGAACTTGTGTACTCTTTAAATGTAACATTTGTAATTGCCTTTTTTGCAGCAGGAAAACTAATCACAAAAAAAAGAGAGAAAGGAAAGGAAAGGAAACATTAAAAGGCATAGAAATATACTATAGGTATGTTTAGAAAGTACTGACATTTTACACAGAAGGCATTTTGTAACAAGTTATTGTATATGTGTTGCATGAGAACATTAGATGTTCTTGCTTGTAGCAAATTTTTCATGTTGAAGACGTGTACTAGAAGTGAGACCTGCTGTTTGAATTGCTCTAGCAGTGCTTCTCTAGAAGAACTGCTTATAAGACTGAAAATATTTTTGAATGTGTTAACATGTACAGTGACTTTGGTCAGATAATTTTTATGAATAATAGAATGAATGGTAAATTTAAATGAACTTTCATTGGAAAGTGAATGTTGTTAAATTACTTTCTTACTAATGCCTCAAATGCAGGATAATCCTTATAATAAAAACAATATATATATCACTGCAGTGAATGAAAATGCAGTAAGCTAGAGCTATTGTACTATCATGTGCCTACCTCTTTGTAACCTTGTTAGATTGTATGCGCTATGAGGCATATGAGTCATGTGAGGATAGTAAGCTCATGTCCATAACTTTGTATGTATATGTGCTGTAATGGCATGCTGCGTGACCTGTTCAAGCAGAATGCCTTGCTTGAAGATGTTCAAAATGGAAAGAAGTTAGTTGGCCTAAAATGTTGTAGGTGCAGCCCAGAATTACTCTCCTGTGACCTTTCCGTGCATGATGAGCAGTTAGGGCGAAAGATTTTCCATAGAAGAGTGACAAATTTGAAGGAATATGATGATCTAAGGCTTCACAGCATGCATGATGTGCAGTTAGACAGAAGGATTTTCTATAGAAGAGTGATATATTTGAAGGAATATGATGATCTAAGGCATCACAGTGTGCATGATGTACAGTTAGGCTGAAGGATTTTCCATACAAGAGTGACGTATTTGAAGGAAGATGATGATCTAAGGCTTCACAGTATGCATGATGTACAGTTAGGCTGAAGGATTTTCCATAGAAGAGTTACATATTTGAAGGAATATGATGATCTAAGGCTTCACAGTGTCTTTGGCATAGTTGAAATTAGACTGCTCTCAGGCTTAATGTCGTAGGGCTAGCTTTGTTGTGTGCATGAACGAGCTTGAAAATTGATGTGACTTTGACTTTATATGAACAAGAAGAAATGGGTTTTCATTGTAAAGATAGCTTGATAGTAATTTATGAAGTGAACTTCGAAGGAGTGTGAGAAAGATGTGATTTTTTTTTTTCTAAGTAAGGATTGGTCTAGAAATAATAATTTCAATTTATTTTTTTACTTCTCTTTTAGGTGACTTATTTAATTTATTGACTTTCTATCTCTGAACAGGAGAAAATAGAAGGACAAGAGGCAACAGAAACCATGGCTGAAGAAGAGAAACCGCGTGAGACAGAAGTCAAAGAGGAAGAGCCAAAGGAACTGACAGTTGATAAGTACGTGTCCCAATTAGTATGAAATAATTACCTTTGATAAGGCAGCATGACAGACCTGTGGATTATGTGGTTTTCTTTATGTAACGAGCCTCTCTGACAATGTATTTGCCAGTTGACATGGACTGTAAGTGAACTGCACTCCTGAAATTTTAAGCAAAATTAGATTAAAGGATAGTTTATAATAGTTAAATGTAAACAGTATGTTTCTTTCTGACCAAGGGATGTCCATTTATCAAGACATTATTTTGAATCTGAAGCTATTCTTTTAGCAGGTAAAGGATACTTTATACCTGTTCTGATTTTTTTTTTTTTTTTTAATTATAGTTTTCACTCATCCAAAAATATTTTATGTATGAATGATTAATTTTTTACTAGATGTTCGGATTTATTATGGTACTGAATCCCACCTATATTATGCTGCCTAGTAAAATTAGTATTATATTGTACTGATTTACTTTTATTCCAGGCCAAAGGCAGAAGCACCTACCACAGAAGAACCCACCAAAGAGGAGCCAGCTGAGGAGACCCCAGAGAAGGTTCAGGCTGAGGAACCGGTGCCTGAAAAGGCCGAACAACAGGAAGCAGAGGAGGAGGAGGAGGGGCAAAATGACAATGAGGAGGAAGAGGAGGAGGAAGAAGAAGTGGAGGATGTATTTGGGGCTCTTTCAACCTTCTCTGCAGAGATGTTCGCAGCTCTGGGGTCGCCTGCAGAGCCCTTACCCCCAGAGGAGAGGCAGCCACGACCCCTGGCACTGAATGGCCATGACCCCTTACACACCACCAGGCTGTTACAGGTGGAGTGTTTAATATTTTTCTTTCCCTCCTTTTTGGATCAATGAGTTGTTATAGCTATCTTCATAGTTTCTGTGAATGTCTATAAAACACTCTTGGCAATATAGATCTCAATTTTGTACTTACAAATCATCATAGTTGTTTATTATATTCATCCATACAAGAAATATAATGTGAGATTTTTGGTTGACAAGTCACTGCCCTTCCCATTTGATTTTCCCATACATAAGTAGATCTTATAAATCTTTCTCCCAAACTCTTGTTCCCACATAGGACCTGATTACTTATGACGATGAGGAACCAGATGTAACCTATGGCCTGGGCCCCCTAGACAACCATGGCCGACTAGCTGCTGTCTCCCACCTGCTCTCAGCTTTGGTGACGACGCTCGACCCTCAGCATCTTAGGCGGCTTGCAACTAGGGTCATGTCAGACTCGTGCTTGTGGGTCTCCAGATTGTTCAGGTGAGAAGGATGGGTGTGAGGAAGTGTTTGTCTGTGATGATGTTGAATCAGGTTTGGAAGGCAAGTTTGCTTATTTTTTGTATTGTCTGTTGATGGACATCTGAGTTCATTTGGTACTACAGTTATTATGAGTACTATTAAGAGCAGGTTTGATTTGTGAAATAGGATTATATGTTGTTATTTTGAACCAGAGACTAGCATGGTATAATGATCCTGATTAATTGTTTAGTGATTTTGTAAACTTGAATTATTTTTTTCCTCTTTTTAATGTGCTTGAATCTCCTTTGCACCCAACAGATACTTTGACTCAACAGCCTATATCCATGAGGATGTGCGTGAGGGTGTGGTGCGTGTATGCCGCATGCTGCTCCATACGCGCTACCCCAAGTACGCAGCTGATGGCTATGAGGCACTTTACGCCAGACCCCCGGTTATCTACACCAGCAGCACTGTCAGACCTGGGCTGCCCCAACACATTGCAGCCATGGTGAGTGCAATGGACTACTTGTTTAGGTTGTTCTACATATTTCTTTGTTTTCAGTTTTCTGCTTGATTGGTTTGATTAGATATTTATGTTTTTTTTTTTTTTTCTTTTATTGTTCCTGTATTTTCCGTGTTGATGGCTGGTAAAGGTATGATGAAGTGAAAGAATTTTATATTTCATTTCACATACCAGATATCTTTTCTTAATAGACTAACTTGGATGGAGGTAATCATATGTCAAAAAAATACTTTCTATGTTGGTAATAAGATTCCAAACATCCACCACAGCTTGGTTTGGGGTCTGGCTGTGTGCGAGTTGTTCCCTGCAATACAGTTGTGGGGTCACCAGTTGCCATGGACACAGCAGCACTCGATCGCATGATGGCGGAAGATTTGGCAGCACAAAAGAAACCTCTGCTTGTCATTGCAAATGTTGGTGAGTAGAGGGCATGTTGTTGGTGTCATTAATCGTCTCACTAATACTACATGATTACTATCTGTATGACAAACTAAAAAATAAAAAATCTGCAACCTAACAAAAGAAAATTTTTAAAATGTTAATTACAATCCACCCTTTCTTTTTCTCCTATGATAAAGGTGGTGGAGCTGTAGGGGGTGTAGACAATGTCGGCCGCATCCAAGAACTCTGCAACACACACGAGGCTTGGCTGCATGTGGAGGGACATGCTCTGGCAGCACTTACACTGCCCAATGCACCCAATTTGGTAATTTTCCTTGCAAAGATGTATTGATGTTTGTGTAACTTTAAACTTTTATTTTTTATTATGATGTCAATGGGTTTGATTTTTCCATGGTTTATGAAGAATACATCTAAACATTAATATATTGTAATTTATATTTTATACATAGGAGTGTTTTACTGATCATTAATTTTTTTCAAAATATATACAGTGTCCATTTTATAATGAAGTTTCCCTCATTTCCAGCCTGCAAAAGTAGCTGACAGCATGACCTTGCCCCTGTCCCTGTGGCTCGGGATTCCCTCACTCCCATACGTCGTATCCTTTTGAGCGTTGTATGTGCTGTACATGGGATCATGGGTTGGTTTGTCCTGAGTTAATGAAAAATGTGTTGTTAGAAAAGGTTTGAAAAAGTTATTTGTTGTAACACACACACACACACACACACACACACACACACACACACACACACACACACACACACACACACACACACACACACAAACAAACAAACAAACAAACAAACAAACAAACAAACAAACAAACAAACAAACAAACAAAAACAAACAGACTGACAAGAAAGACACCGTCTAGGAACCAAACTTGACAACAAAAAAACAATGTGTTGTTAGAAAAGGTTTGAAAGTTATTTGTTGTAAAACACACACACACACACACACACACACACACACACACACACACACACACACACACACACACACACACACACACACACACACACACACACACACACACACGGTACATACATACATATATATGCATATATATATGTATATATTATATGTGTGTGTGTGTGTGTGTTGTGTGTGTGTGTGTGGTGTGTGTGTGTGTGTGTGTAGGATGTGTGTGTGGATGTTGTGTGTGGATGTGTGTGTGGATGTGTGTGTGTTGTGTGTGTGGATGTGTGTGTGGATGTGTGTGTGGATGTGTGTGTGGATGTGTGTAGTGGTGATGTGTGGTGTGGATGTGTGTGTGGATGTGTGTGTGGATGTGTGTGTGGATGTGTGTGTGGCTGTGTGTGTGGATGTGTGTGTGGATGTGTGTGTGGATTGTGTGATGTGTGTTGTGGATGTGTGTGTGGATGTGTGTGTGGATGTGTTGTGTGTGTGTGTGTATGTGTGTGTGTGGATGTGTGTGTGGATGTGTGTGTGGATGTGTGTGTGGATGTGTGTGTGGATGTGTGTGTGGATGTGTGTGTGGATGTGATGTGTGGATGTGTGTGTGGATGTGTGTGTGGATGTGTGTGTGGATGTGTGTGTGGATGTGTGTGTGGATGTGTGTGTGGATGTGTGTGTGGATGTGTGTGTGGATGTGTGTGTGGATGTGGATGTGGATGTGTGTTGTGTGTGTGTGTGTGTGTGTGTGTGTGTGTGTGTGTGTGTGTGTGTGTGTGTGTGTGTGTGTGTGTGTGTGTGTGTGTGTGTGTGTGTGTGAAATTTTCTTTCTTTGCATTTTTTGCACAGATTATCTATCTGTACTATTTTAATCAACTTATGCCAGGTGTTTCTCCTTTTGGGGAAATTATTATGTTAAAATATTTCAGGTGTTGAATGCATAATTAATCAAATATTTGTGTCCTTTCCTTTGCTGTATATGGTATATGTCATATTTGTTTCACAGTGTGTTAGCATTGAAAGATGTATGCAAGTTTTTTTGTTTTTTTTTTCGAATTTGTACTTTTCCTTAACAATAATCTCAGACCCTATACAAAGCGTATGAGACCTCGGCAGTTCATGCAGCGGGTTTGACGGCACTCAGTCTGCACGTGCGATTGTCATGTCTTCCTCTCTGGACCACATTACAGGTAACCTTCAGTTTTGTTGTATATTATAGATTCATTGTGATCTTGAATATCGATCAGTATGTAATCATAAATCTGAAAAGAGATTGTATGTTGTAGGTTTCCATGATGTTTTTATTTTTTCTAATTTTGATTTTTCTTGATTAATGATACTTATTACGGACTTTTATCTCCTTGCGGCAGACCCTAGGCCAGACTGGAGTGATATCGCGGTTCCAGCACGCCTTCGAGCTTAGCCAGTATCTGCAGCAGCATCTCGCCACTTTACCACGAATTCGACTCTTTGTGAGTTTGCATCCTCTTAGTGCAGTCTCCTGTCTTCTTTTTTCTGTATTTAGTATTTAATGAAGGAAGTAGACATTTTTTTTAGTTGATAATTTTCCTTTCTGATGTGACCCCCTTTATTTTTTTATTGTTTTACATCAGTTGTTGTTGTTATTGTTATACTACTGTTATTATTATTACCATTATTATTATGTAGAAGTCTCTTAGTTGCCATTTTAGAATTATTTCACTTATTTTTTCAGATAATGTTTCAGGTGTTGATTGATTCTCTCTACTTGTTTCTTGTATTATGATTCTGTCCTCTGGTCTCCATGTTTATTATTACTCCTTTATTCTCCTGTTTGGGTCTAATGTTATTCCTGTCTTTTTCCTTTCATTTCTAGCTGTTTTTATTATTCCAGTTATTTTCTGTTTATCTCCCTTCCTAGGCTGGGTGCATACTCGTGTGTGGTGTTGAGAAGACTCCATGCCTCCTCTTTGAAATGTTATTTTCCCTCTTTCAGTAAAAGTGTTTTTAGTGTTTTGGGCATTTTTCGATGTCCATGTTTGTCAATTGATTTGCTTTACCCAGATATTAATAGACTTTTCCATGCACAGACTCCATATCATCTCTCTAGGCAGTCCATATCTCGGTGTAATGATAATAACAATAAATGACATTTTATTATGTAATTTTTTATATTTTTTGGGAATATCCATTTTCTGCAATATAACCTGCAACCTGCAACATTGGCCAGGAATAGGATCCTGAGCTTGGAAATAGCATCCTCCCTGGAGCCAGTACTCTTCCAGTCATGGCTTATAGATGATACATTCCACTTTTGTTTATCGATAGAAATAGTGCAAAAGCCTCTTCCTAAATGCCAAATGAGTCTAATCACCCTCCAAGATCTTTGTGCATAGTGAGTCATTCCTGTCACTTCCTCCTTTAGCCCAGATGCTCACAAGGGCAAGTTCGCGTCACTCCAGCCCATAGCCAGATTTTCCCATGACTGCATGTTTGTGTCATCCACCCTTGACTCAAGCCAGATTTTTTCATGATGTGATTGTCATGTCATCTAGATGGTAGGGGTTGATTGATGCAGAGTTCAGATCTTCTGGCGTGAAAATGATGGTTATATTTTGGTATACGCTCATATGGACTTATTATGGCTAGAATTTCAATATCACTGGTGTGGAATGTGGACATATTTTACATAACTTTTGTGTATGTTCATCAAGTGTGTGCACATACCTGAGAATAGCAATCACTAAAATTCATCTGGTAAGGGTTAGTCCATGGATTCTCTCTACCCTCAGCTTCTTATTTATCGTGTTACTGTTGTTCTAACTTCTCCAGTCATCCTTTTCTCTCTCTCCCTAATTTCATCATTTCCTGAATCGGACTCATTTGCTCTCCCAGTTCTCTTTTCTCTATCAGTCTCCTTTTTTTTTTTTATATTTCTAGCTTTTCTTTCTTAATCACATAATTTTTCTCTCTCCCCCTTCAGAGTCCAGTTCCCCCCGAGGGCACGGCAATCACCATTCAGGATCTAGTCACCAAGCCTGTCAGCACTGCAGTGAGTACTCTAGACTGGGATGGTTAGGAATAGAATGATAGGAATGATAGGGAGGATGATTATGGTGATGAGAATGTTGATAGTAAGGAATAATGATAGTGAGGATGATAATGATGGTGGTGGCGAGTATGATGGCAGTTAGGAGTAATGCTAAGTACAATGATAATAGTAGTGGACTTGATGTTGATTGATACTAATTAAGGGTGATGGTAATCAAAAGGAGAAAATATTGCAGTAATGATCCAACAATGATGATAAAAATGTTATTGGAAATCAAGATGATTATTTAGTAACAGAATGATGGCTGTGGTGGCAATTGTGAGAATGTTGAGATTTAGTAATAGAATAAGGTAGATAATGAGGGGACTATTTGGAATCTTTAATGAATGACCAAGATAATATCATATATCAACCCTGGAGTGGTGATGTTGGCAGCCTCCCAAAGCTTGAAGAAAAACCGTGTAATATAGATTGTGAATGGGATCAGAGTAGCAGGATCTGTGATACATTTCATTTAGCTGACTCATGTTGACCAGCCAACCAGCTGACATCTGCATGCGACAGATGTTACTTTTTAGTATGAAATGTTTATGGAAAGTGTATCAGTAGTAGAATACATTTCTCAGTTTGATGTATTCCTGCCAGTTATGAGAGCCCCCATCAGTTTTTTTTTTTTTTTATTAAGGAAGAAAAAAAATAATGGTATTTCAGTAATAGAATACATTACTCAGTTTTTTATATGTTGTGTAAGCCCAAATTAGATTATTTTTCAAGGGTGAAAATGATTATGGCCTCTTTTTTGTCATGGGAGAAAAAAATTATGGCTTTAAAAATTATAGTGTGGATATAGAAGCTGTAGATTTGTATTTGGGTTTGGTTATATTAAGATTATATTAATGGACAAATACCATAATTCATTATTGAGTCTGGGATGAGCTAGAGACAATAAAATGGTGAACATTCTTATAATATGTTTTTCATGCATTTTCAGCAACTCCTAGAAACTGTGAGTGGGTCAGTTGTGTTCCAGTACGTTGATGAGACCAACACAGGTGGCAAGAACTCCGAGTATTATGACAATTTGAATTCATGGGTGAGTTGATGTTACCTTTTCTCTTCATTTTTAACCCATTCAGTTGCTCTCTTTTCCCAGTGTCTTTGTAGAATAGAACAAATAATGAGATACAAACCCAAAATATTGGGTAAGATATCCTCTTGGATATGAAAATTTATATGATGAATAACCTCTACATGTAGGAAAAAAAATTGAATGATATACAATATAGAAAACTTATCATTTTGGGTTAGACATGACATTGTATGTAAAATATAGCAGTATAAGTAACTTGGGCATAACATTACAGGTGAGCCTTGATATTATAATTGTCATTTCAGTTCAAGTGAAATAATATTATGTTAGACAGTTAATACATTCTTGTTCCACATTTCTTCCTAGCTGGGGCAGGTTGTCCGACGTGATCTCGGCAGTATCCCCCTAGAGCTGGTGCAGCTGGATACAGCTGGCCTGGTCCTGCGCTGGAGCCCCATGGAAGGACCTGAGACCTATCACATCACTCTTGCACATGTTGATCACCTCATTCACTCCCTTCACCATCAGCTAGTAAGTGTATCAATTTTATTAGTAGCTTTTTTTTTTTTTTAGCTTGATAAATATGATCCTAAATTTATCCACATCTATCACATTTTCCCTGATTTGATGTATATCCTGTAA